TTTCCAAACCACCCTTGGAATCCACGGACGACCTTCGAGACAAGAGCCAATGACCTGTGATGAATCTTGTAGCTAGGGTTCATGCTTGAATTCATTTTCTAATTATTTTTTTGTTTTAACTATTTAGGATCTTTTTATATTTAATTACTTATTATTTGTTTCCAGGCCGGCTCTACCTATGTGCAGGGGGTGCTCATGCACAGGATCCATCTAATTTTACTTTTTTTTTTAACTAAATTTATTAAAATTAGGATCCAAATTTTTTTTTACAAAATACATAAGAATTAGGACCAATTATTTTTCTCAGCTCAGGGTCCTTAATTTTTTTGAGCCGACCCCTGTTTGTTTCTTCTTCTTAGTTATAACTAGAGGTTTTTCCCATCCATTCTTCTTTATTCAATTTGGTGTTTTCTTAGCAAATGTACTACTCTTATTACAGAAATCATACTATAAAAAAATATTACCCGAAACCGATGTATGTGGGTAATAATTAGGTGAAAACTATTATTTTTAGAGACATCTGGTAAGTGGTCATAGATTGTTCTTCATCTAGAACGATGTGATACTTCTCGTGGAGAAATAGATCGTCTTCTCATGGATTCAAAAATACATCTTGTTGTTAAAAACTTTAAATTGTAAATTCATTTAGTTAATTATCTTATTATCAACTTCGCGTTTGGAAAAAAAAAATTAAAAATTGGAAATATCATCTTCCAAGATCCGATCCCACACAAAAATTTTGGAAGACTTTTCTTGTACACAGCATTCATGAGTTTCTTCTTAAAGTCTTAAGGGTTCTTGTTTTCGTGGGTCATTAGTATTTTCGACCCGGTTATGGATGTTAACTCTGGAAACATGCATCAACATATGTCAGAAATTCCTCGAGTTAGTCTTGGTAGAAACAAACTCACCTTTTTAACTTTCTTAAAAGGGAATGAGAGACAAACATCCTATGGATCAAGACTTTACTACTAACATTATCATCTGTTAATTATAAATCTAGTCTCAACAACATGATTAGCCAACTGAATGATATACAACCTATTGCCATTACATAAATCAATTTTATGATCAATATTTCAAAGTAACATGATAGGGCAACCAATCTTCAGTGGCAAACTGTTGTTAGTAAATCTAAACAATTTGACGTACGCTATTCATAAACTCTTAAGAGTAAACCATACTATCAGTTGTGTTTGTAACTGACGTCTCAACACTACACATGTTAGATGAACAAACACAACCATAAGTACGATTACATGGCAATAGCATTCAATTCCTATAAAATTCATAAACTAATGTGGGTATTAGAAGGTGAAAACGTTATCTGATATATGTTATATAGCATATACTCGTTAATCATATGCACATATTGGTTTCTTGGATTTAATATAGCTATCTCTTCAAGGAAATTATGATCACTTTCTTTTGTAAATGAAAATGATTCTCCATAAACTTCCTTTACTATTTCTTCTCCAGGATGCTCGCACTCAGTTATCAGCAAATCTTCAGGGATATTAATCTCAGTCTAACCATTGTTTGGCTCATTGTTCTTTCAATCACCAATATCTAGAAAAGCTTTAGGCCCTGTGGGCCGGGCCGGGCCAGTTCCACGTGGAGACGACTCACGAAGGGGTGGTTTGCTTACACAATTCCAAGGAAGGTAGATGGGACAAGGTTATACCAATGATGGTTGATATTATGTCTTCATATTCATATTGCGAGATAAAAAATGTTTTGTTCTCTACTTGTCGCGGAGTGTTCAGATGGTATGATGCTGAGGTAAGAATGTGAAGAATATTGAACGGTTTGTTAGGACTACCTAGTATACCTGTGAATGCTTCTGTTAGAGCATCAGCAGTGGCACAAGCAGGTGGGTGTGAGTCTTGGGGTGTAAGTATTAAAAAAACGAAAAAATTGTCTCTCTCTTCACACCCGGGTGTAAGTTTACACTCGGATGTAACACTTTTTCTCTCTATCTCTCTCTTTCTTTCTCTTTCTCTTTTCTCTTTTGCTTTAAATTATAATACTAAAAAAATACTTACACCCACACAAACACATTTGCCACTGCTGATGGTCTTAGATTGGCTGATTATGGTGGAAAGATAGCGGTTTTGTGGGCTGAGGATTGCCCTTCTTGTGGGCCTGGTGGCAGAGATGAGAAGATGATTAGGTATGCCGTGATTGCGCTTAAAAGGCACATATTTTGTCAAATTTGGGGGAAAGTTGAGTGGTTTGATCATGTTCTTAAAGTCCCTAAACCATATGTTTTCGTGAAGGTTATTGCTGCTAGTTTGTGATGAATGTGTCGCTAAAGATGATCATGAATATATTGTAAAAAAAAGTTAAAACGAGTACTATACTTATCTACTCTGTATAAAACAGAGTATTCTCTGTTATTAGTACATTTAATAGCTTGACAAGTTACAAGCAAAGGCAATCGAACTTTAAAAACACTTTGATTGCTCTAGTAAGTATATACGATTTTCGAAACCTTTTATATGTCGTCAAATAAAGTTCTTCAGGGGATATAATACATTGGATTGGCGAGTTTGAAAGATCGTTGAGACATGGAGGTACCCAACAAATCACTCCATTGATCACCTGAATTGCCTCTAATCCTGTATCCATCTTTCACCATCTCATCTCTCTTCTCAGATTTGTATAGTGTCGCCATTTTGTGCTGTTCCTCTGGAGATCTGCACATCACACACACAAGGGCAAAGCAAAACGAATAAACAAAAGATTGCTATAATGCAAAGGATGTTCAAAACTGATGATTATATGCAGATAAAATTCTATATGATCCACCAGCATCAACCATTGCATAACGAACAAACTCATCGCATGACCTAGAAGCATCTATCTATACTTAAAACCTAAGAGCTACAACATCGTTTCTATGAGTAGGTCATGGTTGTTTATACCTGAGAATAAGCTTGTCCCAGTTCTGGAAACCAGCATTGATCAGGTTTTCAACAGTGACAAGCCTGTGGCTCTCTTTCCTCCCTGTAAGCAAGAAAACTTTGTATCCTAAATCTATCACTCTCTGGTAAAGCTTTAAGCTTGGTGCTATAGCTGGTGCCACTCCTTTCTCTACCCACTTATCAAACTCCGAATGATCAAAAAGCTCCAACCTGCAAAATCCCCAAACAGAATCAAGCAGTTTCTATAACCAATTGTCCTCTTTTATGAACTTGTCAAGCAAAAGAACCACATGAACACACAAACATACACAAACCAAATCAATTTTGAGATAAAAGTGTAAAAGGAAGAGAAATGCGAAAATGTACCCAAAGCCATGGTCAATGTAATATGGAAGATTGGATAAGAGAGTCTCATCGATATCGAAAATCCAAATATCTTTGCCATCGCCGGAGAATTCGACGCTGCTCGCAAAGATCAAAGCTTCTTCAGAAACTCTCTCCAAATCGGTGACGTAGCCTTTACCCATCACGTAATCCTTCACGTAATCGGCACACTCCACGGGAATTGTTTTCCACGGGGCGAGATTGTTCATCTCCGCCGCGAATCTCCAGGTCGTACAATGCAAATTGACATCTTCATCGGTAGCTTTTTTGTGTCGACTCTCGATTTCCGACGGGTACTCGAGAATCGAATCGGAAAACGCGGAGGCAAATAAGGAGATCACCACAAGGAAAATCACGTAAATCCTCATCGGAGAATCACCGGAAATCGAATCAATCGAAAAAAAAAACCAACTTTGGGATTTCTGAATTTCTGAGAATACACACAAATTGAGAAACTTGAATCAAAATTAGGGTTTTATATTCAGATGTTGAAGAGGGGGTTTATTTATATTCAGGAATCAGAACCTATTCGAAATCCAAATAAAAGGGAAAAAAAAAAAACGAAAGTTTCAAATTGGATTAATGGAATATCGTACGAAAGAAGAAAGCTTTGATTTTAATTTCAATGGAGGAATGAAAATAATCGGAGCAGTGCTGCTGGTTCCTTTTCCTTTAAAGCAGTGGAGGAGAATGTCAAAGACAGCAGTGGTCGGTGACGTGTAAGAAAAGAAAGCCTATTTTAAAATAATTATTTTTCACTAAATTAATAGTAAAAGAATCTGTTCGTTTCGGGTTCGGATCCGAATATCCGTTGATGTACGGTTGGGTCCACAACCGGGTCCTTTGATGACGTAATGTCATTTTCTTTTTAATTTCACCTGACGTAAAAATATTTCCAATAGTTTGGTTAATTTGGTTTAATGTCTAATTATTCGGCAATGTTAAGGCTGTTATGTGATTTGAGTTTTGTTATTCTTTAATTTATCATCAAGATCGATGTAAATATCTAATGATTATTGTATTCTGTTATTCAAGTTTAGATGTAGAGTTTAAGTTATTTCTAAAATGTCTATTTTCATTTTATGATCAGCAAATTTCTTAGAATCTGATTAATGAAGTCAACTTATGATTTTTAGTGACTATAAAAATTACAAAATTTCATAAACTATTATAAAATCTGAGTAAGATCGTTAATCAAAATTAACTTCAATAGTAATAATGGGAGCTAAACGGATACTTGCACGCACGCTAAGCTACGCCAACGCGTGGATACAGTTTTAATGGGCATAAGTTTTAAGTTTTTTTTTTTTTTTTTTCAGAAGTTTTAAGTTATTTAACCAATAACGTGTTTATAAGGGCTAAATTAATTATTGTTAATCCGTTTTATGATCAGAACTATCTCACGTTTGGAGAAAAAGTCAATAAACACTATTTAGCATGTTTTAAAATTTAAATATTTTCGTTGACACAAAATAAAATAAAAAAACACTTTAAACCTGATTAATTTATGTTTACTTCTCGGACAAGACAAAAGATATTCGACCTCGTTCAATCATTTTTTGTTGCTACAGATTTGAAGTTATTTAACAATTCTAATGTTCATTTCTAGTTTAGTTTTGTATCTAAAACTAGACGCATTTAATTAGAAGCTGTAATAAATGCAAAAACGAGATATTGAAGAATCTAATCAGATTTAGATCGAAATGGTTTATCAATCTGTTAATACCAAATTACATACTATACATTTCAACCGAATCCACAAAGTAAAGAATAAAATAAATCCATATGCAAGAAAAAGGTCATTCCAAATTCCAAAAGAACAAACAAACCAAAAGAAAAAGGCCGTAAGAACATCTCGCCGTTTCTCTAAACTGAAAAACGCTACGCAGTTTCAAAGAGTGGCATTAAAACATAGCGCTTTTTTTTTTTTTTTGCCTTACTGATTTCTTTTTCTCCATTCAACGATGGCTGCGTACAGAGTGTGATTGGGCAAAAGGCTCACGTTTTGTAAAGGCGACTCAGTCACCGGTGACGTCCGGTGGTTCTCCATCCACTCCTCTATGGCTCTCCGGTCATAAGTGTACCCATCAGCCGCAATACATGGCTCCTTCATCACATCCTGCAACATAACAACGTTCCTCTTTAAACTAACCTGACTTCTCTCGCAAGTAAAAAGATGACGTAGCAAACAAGTTATTACCTTAAGTAATGGGCAGATGAAATGGCTTGGAGGTTGACTTGGCGCTGTGGAAAGCGAGTTTCTTTCTTTATCAGCTACTTTCTTTAAGCTCTCCAATACTGGAAGAATCTGATCTTCCAAATCAGGCCTGTCTTTAGAACGGAGCTCTGTACACTGGAGTGCTAAACCAGCTAATTGCCTGGTTTCTTCGATTGGCCAGTTACCCGCTTTTTGATCAAGAATCTGTATTAGCTCGTCGTAGTCGTTGTTCTCCATGGCTGTTTCTACTGTATATGTCAGTGCCATAGCCTGTTGACCAGTGAGAAGCTGCAGAATGATCATTCCGAAAGCATAGACGTCTGATTTTGGAGATATCCTTCCGGTTCTCTGATATTCGGGATCGATATAGCATAACGTTCCCACGGGGCTTGTCTGTTTGTACATGGTGAATTTGGTTGACAATGGGTTGGCAGCTTGGATCATTGTGGAAAGACCAACATCTCCTACTTTGCTGACAAAGTTGTGATTAAGCAAGATGTTGGCGGGCTTAAGATCGCGGTGGATGATTGGTGTCGGTTTTGATTTGTGGAGGAAAACAAGTGCTGATGCCACTTCCCAAGCGATTCTGAACCGCACGAACCACGGGATTGGTTGACTATCGTTGACTTGGAACAGTCTATCTTCCAGGCTACCGTTTTCCATGTACTCATAGACTAGAGCGCCGTGCTCAGGACATGCTCCTAGAAGAAGAACCAAGTGCGGGTGCCTGATCTTGCTCAAGATTTCGAGCTAAGAGAGGTTAAATGGTGAATAAAATTGTCAGCTTTTTGAAGAAAACAGAGAAAACTTTCAAATAAGAATTCTTTTTTTTTTTTATTGTGTACCTCTTGATCGAATTGCTTGGATAGACTACTTTCAGCTGAATTCAAAACTTTGACAGCGGCGATTGTATGATGCAGATTGCATTTGTAAACATCCCCGTAAGCTCCCATTCCAATCTTTAAATCTTCAGAGAATGATGAAGTTGCGGTAATGATTTCTTCCCACGTGAACTCTTGGTATTGCAGCTTAGGAGCCACAAGGGAACTTTCTTCAAGCTTCTCCTTCTCTTTGGCTTCATGGGTTGCTTTCATCTCAGCTTCTCTTCTTTGTGCAGCTTCTCTCTCTTCCCTTCTCTTCTGCTCAAACTTCTCTGTTTCCTTTGCTGCTAACCCCTTCGTTTCGTGCTCCATAAGCGTTAGCTCTTCAAACTTAAGCTCATTTAGCTGAAACCATTGAAGGGGTAGTTTTATTAGACACACAAAGCAATAGCTACGAAGCTTCATCAAACACAAGTTATCCTTTTCTTGAGATTTTTTCAAGCCAACCTTGCGAGAAGCATCCAACGTTTCTACTTGAGCCACTGCATACATTTCATGAGCATGTCTAAGCTCAGCTCTCAACTTCGAAATTTCATTGAGCGTGTCCTGAAATCAATGAAAAAACATATCAATCCCAAATGCTTTCAATTCACTAGAGGTTAACAAACAATCTTATCGAAACTTAGTTTACCTGGTTGTCTGTGAAATAGTTTCCAAAGGGAGTAACATTTCCATATTCAAAGTTGCTAGACATGGAACTCATAGCGTCTTTTCTCTCATCGAAATCTCTAAACCGAGGATTCCAAGAAACACTACGCGATTTTTCAGGGCTACTTCTCTTGCTTGCTTCCTCTGCAGCATCCGAAGACCTCTTTCTAGTTTCATCTGACTCAGTAGAACTAGTTTCCGTAAGAACAGAAACCTCTCTTACTATTGTCGGGAGATTTTGCATTCTCTTCTTGGACAGAACATGAGGGTTAGATTTGAGTGCATTTGACATTAGATCTAAAGAATGTACAACAAAAAAAACCGAAGAAAAATTAGACTCATGAATCACACATCAGTTTTTGGTGAAAGATTGATGAAAGCTTCGAACCTGAGTTAGGTCCTGAACCTGAAGAACAGCTGGAATCTGTTCTCTCATAACCAGATTCTGAAGTGTCATTCCTCTCCGTGTCAGACGATAATTTATCTTTTGCAAGAATATGGACTCCTCCTTTTGAGACAACATAGACTGTGCATAAGTTTGACACACTTGCTGATATCGTCGCTGTAATATCATAATTCCTGGAAGTATTTTCAACACATATATTCATTCAGAAAACTCTGTGCAATAAGATAATGTAACCGAAAAGGTAATGTTTCATGCCATACCTCGAGGAGGCACTTTGAGATGCGCGTCCAATGACAAGATTGCTGATCAAATGCTGATTAACCTCTTTGGTTATCGCCACTGCAACACTATTTGATTCGAGCACTTGAAGTTCCACTGCAACCTTTGTCAAAGAAGATTCAAAAACGAGTTTCATCGATATTTAGCTATAACATATCTGATAAAGGAAGACCAAGAAAGACAAAAAAAAGTAATATAAAAACCTTTTTCCGCTGGCACATTTTCTTGAAAGGTTTAAGAAGAGTTTCTTTTGTCTCCTGCATCACTTTTTGTCTATAAGCAGTTGCCACATCCTCTAGTTCCTCGGATATAGAGACTATGTTTCCCGCTTAGGAAGGAAACAGAAACCGGTATCAGGATCTTAAGTAGTCACACGAAGTCTCAGGTAGAGAAGAAAATCTTTGGAACTTACAAGCTGTGGGTAGAGTAGTAATTTTTGGATGGATGTGAATCAGCTTGAAAGTGACATTTTTGTCAGAACCAAACTTGTTGAGCGCCCACTTCAGTACATTCTTGCTTTTATCGCTCCCACTAATAGCTATCGCAATGTTTAGCGGTTGAGAAGGAGACGCAAGATCAGAGCTAGCCCTCTTAGGAAGCTGGGCACGCGCCGGCTTTGGATCCAGATATGAGTTTTTGAAAAAAGAGTCCATTTATTCTCAAGAAAGTCAAAGCACCCGCTTGTGGAGCCTCTAAAATGTCAGGGCCAGCTCTACGCAAGATGGTCAGCAACGGTTCTACTCATCCCCTATCTTTCTTCCAACCAGATGAGACAGTAGCAATCTCAAGCTGTGTCTCAAAATCCATTTGGAGATAAATCATTCAACAACATCACAAATTGAAATGAAGATCCTTGAGCCAAGGAACAATAAACAAATTGATATCAAACAGAGAATGCATCGATCAAGAGATGCTTTGATACTCAAAAATTCAAAATCTAGACATAACAATCCCACATTCCAAAGTCAATTTAGATATAGACAGCTAGACAATGCAATTGGAGAGGAATATTGCAATTCAGAATAATTTTTTAGAACCTAAATTTTAAGATTCAAGCACATAAAGTTTTGAACTTAAGCAGAAAAAAAGCTTGGAAACAAAACCCATCAAGCCAAGCATGATTACAATCTCTAATAAACAAGAAAAATTCAAAAATATGACCTACCTGATAAATAAAAGGATGCAACTTTAAGCTGTGTCAGAAGGAAAAAAGGTATTTTTCTCACTTTGACATCTTGAAGCGAAGGAATCTCTTATTCTCACACAGAGACATTGATGGAAGAAACACAAAGAAGAGCCAAAGACCCAAGTTCGTGGCTTCGTGCTCCCAGTTTCAGAGACAGACAATTCCTTTTGAATAACCACAGAATCTTATGGAGCTTCTTATATTAATAGTACTATAAAAATATAAAATTGAGATAACTTGGTCATGCATGACTCATGATCATTGTTGAAGATTCTTTCACTCTTGTTATTTACTACTCTCTTGCTCACTCAAGAATTTTCTTCATTACAAAGAAGAGGGTCTTAAATTATTTATCATTCTTTTGAAAGTTTCTGCGCCATTCCTATCTTATGAAGGGGCTAATATTTTTTAGATTTGAAAATTGTCTGTTTTGGAAACTTTTTTTTTTTTCTTTTCTGCACAGCTGGAACTACTTTTTCAAAATTATGAATATTATTATTAATTCATCGAACATTTATATTTGAAAATGAAATATTTATTGTTCTTACTTCAAAAAAGAAAAAAAAAAAAAAGATGTTGCATCACATCATGGACAAGATGTTATTCACTTTATATGATAAGCATTTTCAATTGCTAGGGAGAAATTTTCTTTAAACGACATGTACTTATCAATGGTGAAATATTTGCAATAAGTACTTCAATAATGTGACTTATCAATTATTTTTTTCATTAAAAAAAAAAAGGAGTAACTGATTGGAAATGTGTATATGTTTATATTCAAATATGACAACATTATATATTTCCTTGAGTACTTGTTTTTCTTTCTGTCACTTCTTTGAATACATTTGTTGGTATTGTTAATTGTCTCATTTTACTTAAAATGTGGGTGATAAAATACACGCACAAAAAAAAATATAGATGAGACTCATGCTCAAAATTGAGACAATAAGTTGTCAAATATATTGTCTTTTTTTTTTTCGTTAATAGGATTTCATTGATAAGATTCAGGTTGAAATATAATGAGCCGACATGGGTAGCAATCCTTCCAGAGACATAAGCCGGCGAGTACAATAACACTCCCAGAGATAAAGAACAAACAAAATAAACAAAGGGGAAAAAAAACCAAACAAACTAAACACTACATCCATCAATACTTCTTGGATCAATCTAGAAACCCAAAAAAAAAAGACATACAAAACATAAACCTTTGAAAATTAAAACAAATCTGAGACTAAGAAAACACACAAACGGATTACAATACAGGAATCTCATTTACCATAAACTAGAACTGAATGGAAGTGTCGTGTCCTCTTTATATTGTCAAACATATAAAGAGGATTACAATACAAGAATCTCAAATATATGTCTCATTTTACACTTTTGTTATATTATATTTGCATTACTAGAATATAATGAGATACACAAAATTCCAATTTCACTTGATTTTTAGGGTCAGTTGCTCGCATGATCTATCTTGTCCTCCCCTCTTTTTGTCTTCCTTATAATAAGGGGTATGTAACAATGTGTGTCTATTTTATTATTTTTCTTTTCTTTTAACCAATCCTTTTTTTGTCAACAACATAATCCATTGAATACTTTTAATAAAGTGATTATTTACATAAATGAAGAGTCGAGAAAATGCACTTAGACATGAAAGAGGGAAAGAGAGAAGCCGAAACATATGCAATGTCAACGTTGCTCCGTTTCATAAACTATGAATTTGTTTTGTAGGTACATCAAGTATGATTCATTATATCCCATATAAAAAATATATATAAGTAGGGTCGGCTTTGACCTAAAACCTAATAAACAAAGGCTTTAGGCGCCAAAATATATATAACATTAGAATTTAACCCGCGGTATACCGCGGGGTTATATTTAAAAAAAATATATAAGATTAACTGAAGATTTTTTTTTTTGGTAGGGTGGGGGAGAGACAAAGTCTCCCCTTTCTATTAGTGCAAAAAATTAAAATTATATCCGCACATTTCGTGCCCTCGTCGACCCGCTAGCATCCTCTAAACAAATCGAGGCTACACAATCCGGTCTAGAGTCTAACATATGAAACCCAAAAAGTAGAGAAAAAGCATAGTTCGCTAACCCGTCGGCAAGACGGTTAGCTTTCCTATAAACGTGAGAAATTCGGACTATCCAGTCCTTTGACAGAAAGTCATAGCACAGTTAACTGAAGATATATCATATTAATTTGTATTTTTAAATGTAGATATCTATCTATCAATTTTTGAGTATAGATACGAAATCATATATATTTTTTTAAGTAACGATGTATGGTGGATTGAATATTTTACTCTGCAGTATACCGTGGGTCAGTTTTTGTATAACTAAAAATTTTAAATTTAGGTAGGATTTGTTTTGTTAATATTGTTTCTTTTTTTGTGTTTAAGATTGAATAATTGTATTTTGATTGTTAATTTTAGGATTTCATCCGTGATATACCGTTTTCTATTAATATCGACCCAAACCCGTCATCCCATATAAATCCGTCTATAGTACCTCGTTAGCTAAATTATTAGTGTTATAAAATCTAAGAAAATAAATTATTATTGTTATAAAATCTATAATTTTAGGATCTCACATGTGGTATACCGTTCTTTGACCGATTTTAAATTTATACTACTAATATATATTTTAAATTTATTATATAAAGTATATGATTTCAAGTTTTTGTGTTTTTTTTAATTTAAATAAAGCAACAGCTTAAATGATGATAGATATAATTCTTTTTCCTGTATGTGTATATGATTTTTCTATGTGAATATTTTGATTATTTTAAATTAGTATTTTTATTGCTATCCAAAATGTTAATATAAATATTTGTTATAAATGTTTGTTGAAAATATAGTGTAGAGATTTTTAGAAACAAATTAGGCAAAATATTGTTTGGTTAATATCTTTTATTTAAATTTTGTAAAAGTAATAATAAATGCCAATGGCATGGACTCGTAAATACTTAGCAACTCTAGGATTTATTTGTTAAGTATACTCCAAAAATGTATATATAGATTTTGAGGGCATCAAATTAAGAAAGTCATTTGTAGCACATGACTTTTCTGGGTTTTATCCTTTCTTATAACACGGGTTCAAGCCTCCCGAACAATGTTTTTCTATATTTTTAATATTTTATGGGCAGAAAACAAAATTTGGTTTTAGGCAGTCCATATTATTAGGCCAGCCCTAATATATACTAATGTATGCATACACCAAAAAAATATATATTCATCATCACTGGTTCGAATCCAACAAACCATTTTTTTATTATTTTTTATTTTAAATCCAAACAAACTTATACTAACATAACTTCGAGGTTCGAGCCCAACTCCTTCTAACCTGAACTTGTTTGTGGAATTGATAATATTAAAACAGAGCGCTCTCTTTTTTGTTTTGCCTTACTGATTTCTATTTCTCCATTCAACGATGGCTGCGTAAAGGGTGTGATTGGGCAAAAGGTTCACGTTTTGTAACGGCGAATCAGTCACCGGCGACGTCCGGTGGTTCTCCATCCACTCCTCTATGGCTCTCCGGTCATACGTGTACCCATCAGCCGCAATACATGGCTCCTTCATCACATCCTACAATATAACAACATCCTTCTTTAAACTAACCTGACTTCTCTTGCAAGTAAACAGATAGATAACGTAGCAAACAAGTTATTACCTTAAGTAATGGGCAGATGAAATGACTTGGAGGTTGACTTGGCGCAGCGGAAAGCGAGTTTCTTGCTTTGTCAGCTACTTTCTTCAAGCTCTCCAATACTGGAAGAATCTGATCTTCCAAATCAGGCCTGTCTTTAGCACGGAGCTCTGTACAATAGAGCGCTAAAGCGGCTAATTGGCGGGTTTCTTCTATTGGCCAATTACCCGCTTTTTTATCAAGAATCTGTATTAGCTCATCGTCATTGTTGTTCTCCATGGCTATTTCTACTGTATATGTCAGTGCCATAGCCGGTTGAGCGGTGAGAAGCTGCAGAATGATCATTCCTAAAGCATAAACGTCTGATTTTGGAGATATCCTTCCGGTTCGTTGATATTCAGGATCGATATAGCATAACGTTCCCACGGGACTTGTCTGTTTGTACATTGTGAATTTGGTTAACAATGGATCGACTTGGATCATTGTGGAGAGACCAACATCTCCTACTTTGCTGACAAAGTTGTGGTCAAGCAAGATGTTCGCGGGTTTCAGATCGCGGTGGATGATTGGTGTCGGTTTTGATTTGTGGAGGAAAACAAGCGCTGATGCGACTTCCCAAATGATTCTGAATCGCACAAACCACGGGATTGGTTCACTATTGTTGACTTGGAATAGTCTATCTTCCAAGCTACCGTTTTCCATGTACTCATAGACTAGAGCGCCGCGTTCAGGACATGCTCCTAGAAGGAGAACCAAGTGTGGGTGCCTGATCTTGCTCAAGATTTCGAGCTAAGAGAGATAAACGGCGAATGAAAATGTCAGCTTAAGAAAAAAAGAAAGAAAACTTTCAAACAAGAAAAACTTTTTATTGGGGGTACCTCTTGATCGAATTGCTTGGATAGACTACTTTCAGCGGAATGCAAGACTTTGACAGCGGCAATTGTATGATGCAGATTGCATTTGTAAACATCCCCGTAAGCTCCCATTCCGATCTTTAGATCTTCAGAGAAAGATGAAGTTGCGGTGATGATTTCTTCCCAAGTGAACTCTTGGTATTGCAGCTTAGGAGCCACTAGGGAAATTTCTTCAAGCTTCTCCTTCTCTTTGGCTTCACAGGCTGCTTTTATCTCGGCTTCTCTTCTTTGTTCAGTGTCTCTCTCTTCCCGTAACTTCTTCTCAAACGTCTGTGTTTCCTTTTCTGCTAACCCCTTCATTTCGTGCTCCTTTAGCGTTAGCTCTTCAAACTTAAGCTCGTTTAGCTGAAACCATTAAGGGGGCAGGTTTATTAGACACACAAACCAATAG